CCCAAAGGTTGTATGTCTTTGGTGTTCCTCACTTGTTCCATGAGGGTTTGTGTGTAAGTGGTGTTTACACATGAGCGGTGGTGGATGTGGGTCTTTTTATGGAGTAGAGATTTCCGCAATTGTTACTTGTGGTTCCTCGCATACAGTATTGTGTGTGGGGCCTCGAGTTGGGGGAAGGTGTTTTCACAGTCGCCTCAATGGCATATTACCATGTCACTTTCCCTTTCCTCAAGGGTGGAGTCATTGCCCAGAGGAGGGTTTTCCTCCAGGTTGTTCATCTGGACATCCGATTGCTGCGTCGGATGCGATGACATAGCCTGGGCTACATTGTTGGGCTGTGGGCTCGACGAAGTGGGCACTCCCTGGGTGGGAGCGGGTTGTTGTGTTCCTGAGCTACTTGGCTCAGGTGTGGAGTACGGTAGGTCTACCATTCTTCCTGTGGGGAAGGGTGGTCGTTGGGCTGGTTGTCCAGTGTGGAGACTTGCATCTCTTTCACGGTATTTGGAAGCTTTCGCTTCCCACTCTGCAATTCTTGCGGCGCATTCCTCAGGAGTCCTGAGTGGTTTGAACTGGGACTTTGGATAGGTGGCTTCGCCTGAACTTTCCCGGGAGATTTTTCCCTTGTTCTCCGGGGGGTTATGCTCCTCCGCGGGTCTTGCAGTACTCGGGGGTCCCGAGAGGTATTTCTCGGTTTCCTTTGCTTTTTCGCAAAGGGTTCTGTGTGCCTTGCCGCTTTTGAAGGTGGCTTCGGCCTGTTCGTACCAGTGTATGAATTCTTTCCCACTCATGCTTGTCCACCAAGCATATGCGGCATCGTGCACCGCTTCTGACCCTGCTATTCTCATGGGGAAGTTGGGGTCGATTGTTACGTCGACTGGAGCTTCGACTTTGCTGAACTCGTATAGCATGTGGACACTTCCCTGCAGGGTAGCTTGCCCATAGGGTGCTGAGGTACTCAGTGGCCCACTGCCTCTGGCAGTGGTCCCCATTTTAGGGTCTGCTGTCGGTTGCCTACCGCTCTCCCTCTTCCCCTCGACATGGGTTTGCCCTTCTGAGGGCGGGCCCTTATGCAACCCAAACAGGGTCGCCTGCCCACGGGGTGGCAGGATAGTTGGTGCCCCACCCCTTGATGTGCTAGTCCCCATGTGGGGTCGTGCCTCATGAGGCCCGGAACCGTATCCCCTCCCCCTGACCTGGGAGGCCCCTGTCATAATGGGTTTGGCAGTGAGGTCTGCCAGTGCACGTGCCTCTCTGAGCTCGCATTTCAGTAATTTGATCTCCCTTTTTTGGAGATTGACCTCTCTCTCTGTGTCTTTCAGAGAGTCGAAGATGCCCTCGGCATCTCTTCATGCTCTGTTGTATTCGCGCTGAAGGAGAAAACGAAGGAAGGTCAGTTGGGAGGTTCAAACGAGACCACCACCAAGCTGTTCCCTGGTTCTTTAGTTAGGATGGGGAAGTGTACTAGTGTTATTTATTGTAAATATAGTACCAATCCGAGTGTTTTGGCTAATTCTATTTTTATGGGTTAGTTTTAAAGTTCCTGGGAATTGACTTACAGATAAACCGAGCCCTGCGGAGCTGTTTCTTTATTGGAATTTATTAATTTGTCTAGGTGTAATTCTGTGTAGCGTTGTTTAATTTGGATTTAAATTTGAATTTAATCTTCTACTTGGTGAAGTTTCAAAGATTCTATTCAGTTAATGAAGTTGGATTGTGTCTGGAGTGTCCCTTGGGTTTATTTTATTTTTGTCTTATTTTATTGCTTGTTTTAACAGTAGCAAGATAACTGTTTTGTGTTTACACTTTGAAATCTGGAGTGTTAACCAGCTCTCCTGTTGAAATATCTACTTAATATTTCTCTCCTTAATTGCTGCCTTTTACTACAGTGGCAATCTTAACTGTATATCACTTTTTCGCACTGGAGTGACAACCAGAAATGCTTGAGAAAAATAATACTCTATTTTCTTACTTCTCTAAGGGGGGTGAAAAGTCGCAGAAAGGGTCTCCCTTTTATACTCCTTGGGTCGCCTTCCTTTTTCACGCTCTACCTTCTATTTACAGGATTTATTTACAGTGTATTTTTCTCAGACTGAATAAAAATGAAAATTTCATGCTATAGTTCTACTGTGCCTTTGCTGCGCTGAACTGCAGTCAGACTGCGCCTAGAATTCTTATTGTCCTCCCTCGCCTAAGCTATTTTAATGGTTAATTGGAACTTGGCTGCGCAGCATTTGCCACAGTTACTTATTTCAAATTCCCTATATATACCATTAAATTTGCTATGACTCGATGATTCTGAATTCAAACTTCGCATTACTATGCGTACGGCTGTGCTGAGACCTTCAGCTGATTTATTCCATTTTTATTTAGTGACATTTAGTTAAAATGAGACTGAAATGGTAAATGAGTGAATTATTCAGATTTAGAACTGAAAGAAAAAGTTGCTAGTAGTCAAGAATTACTCAAACGAATGTGTTATAGCTCTCCACTTCATTAGAATATCGTTCCCTAAAATTCCCGCCATGGTCCGTCGTAGTTTAGTGGTTTTCGTGAATTTCGTTCATATTCCCTGATTCCCCTTTGTATTATCACATCCTAGTCCTCCATATGTATTGTTCATTGTTATAATAGGTCGTCCTTGGAGATTTCATATTTTTATGTATTTTATTTAGGACTCTGGACCTCTTGAAGCTGTTTTCCCGCGCGTTTTCAGGTTTCTAACTTCATGTCCTTGTATCTCATTCATTTCTGGGTGTTTTCTCACGTTCTTGGTATCATAAATTTTCATTTATTCCCACCTTTCCAATGGTACTAAGGTTGTGTCCTATTTCCTGGTATTTGTTGAGTTAGCAAAAGTTCGTGCGCACATTCGGTAATCACGTGCATCATTCCCATAGTCGTTCGTATGCAGGCACTGTTTCCGTTTAATTGTTCGGGATTTATGATATGCGTGGGTGTTTATTTCTTTCATATGGGCTTCTGTGATTTATTTCAGATTTTTCCCTCATGATCTAAGGTTGTTTTGCACTTTCCGTGCTTTGTTTTGACTGGGCTCTTCCTTATTTGGACGGAAATTGGTCTTCGCGATCTGCCGAAGTGCGGATCTCGGTTCTGACAGCCGGTTCCCTGCGCATCGCCACCCTCACGTGTCATTACACATGATGCGGATTTCTATATTCCCGTCATGGGTATAACTTCACAACGGCTGGACTGTTTGGGCTGAAATATTGCATAACTATAGTTCCCCATTTTTAATAATTTCCGTGTAAATTTCGTTGTATGTTTTAATTATGGATCCTATGCAAACATTGTCTTATCCCTAAGCTCGGACTTTTGATGTCACTAATCCCGTTATTGGATATCTCATTAACGCATGATCCTTTTATTATGAAAATTTGGGAGGAGTAAGATTGGATCCCTTCCTTTCTAATGGGCTATCAAGCTTGTCTCGGTCGTTACTGGTTAATCTTCGTGCTTCCCTTTTAGGCATTGTCCTCGTTTTTGCAGGAGTTTTAGTCATATCTCCGTTGTTTATGAGTAGTTTCCCCTGTAATTACTCTCATTGGGTCCGTTTGGTGGACATCTATATTTCCTATTATAAACACGACTTTGAATTTTGCATTAGTTCCTGAGGAATCCTTGTTCCGTGGTACTTCCATCCTTGGCTACGTGTGCGGACGTGGGAAAGTAGTTTTCGTGGAGGTTCTCTGATTGTTTTTATAGTCAAATCTTGGTCAATTGTCCTAATTATTGGTTTAATATTTGCTATAAATTCCCCGAGAATTCCGTCTCGTTGATGGTAAGCTTGAAGTATTTTTGCTATTTTTCTTTCTTTCGATTTATCGTGTGTAGTCATAATAATTCGTAAAAATTCGTAAAATTCGTTAAAATTCGTGTCCTTCTATTTTCTCATATCTACTTGTCATATGAGGTTGTGTGATTTATCTGGCATATTTCCATAATGGATTTCCATAGTGTGGCCGTTATTTCTCCTACAACGTACAGTCTCAATGTAGAGGGATGTGTCATTGATGTTTCGGAGTATTCAGGTGACTTGGGATGAGTTGTCAGCCTTCCCAGAGTTGATGAGATGACAAGCATGGCGAATATCAGTGTCAGAAAGCTTGGATGGATGACCACCACTGGGCTTGGGAACATCAGAACGGTGTTTAGACCATAGGCGAGTGACAGTGGAGTAATGGTGGCCAGTAAGAACTGAGATTTGGCAAGCACTATGGCCAGAATCAATGAGGGAAAGGATTTGTTCAACTTTTGAAGTGGCTAAAGGGTGCATTTCGGATTTGGGGCCTTATCATGTGAAGTCCTTCGGTATTTATGCTGTATTAATGTCATTTTATTTACTAGTGTGTACAGTAAACAATATCACATGACATGTCACATAGCCTGGGGGTACTCCAATAAACTGTTGCAATGACCTGGGTAGTTTGTAAATTACATAACATAACCAAAAATGGGAATATTGCTTACATAATTGGCAGATCTTTAGATGAGATACTTTCCCATGTTCTGAATATTTTTTTGAAATTTCCAAATACATTTTCATTGTGCTATAAGGTCATGAGTTGAAAAGTGAAAAACATTGCAACGGTTTATTGGAGAACTGTACATACTCATTTTGGACCTCAGTCTAAAATCAACCAGAAATGCCCCCTAGAGACTTCCTGCTCACTGCCTCTGAAATTAAGGACCAAATGGACAAACAGCAATGGCACAGCACTCCACATGAGTTGCTGAGGCCAAGGTCCCTCCTTGCTAAGTCTCCAATTCCCCTCCAGAATTGTCCACCCTCACCCAGTTCTAACACCCCCTGGGGAAAGAAATCCAACCATCCCAACTCTGGGAAATGGAGAAAGATCTCTCAGCCTCACCTGAGCCCCAACCAATCCATGAAAGGATGATTATCCCACACACCTGACGACACTGAGGTTGGCTACAATGCCTGCCCACTCCCAGGCAACTTCGACTACAGGGTCCTCAGAATGCACAGCCCACACCTCCACCTCAATGTGACAGACGAAGCCTGCAAAGCATGGAACCAAGCCAACCAGCATGCAGTGATTATCATCCCTCTCTACATGGCATTCTCCCTCATGAAAATGCAAGAGGCAAAGGATCATGCCTTCACCTTCATCAAAAGAGCATTCCTGGACTCAGCAGGAACACTTAGCACCATACTGGCTGCCAATGCAATTGACGCCCAGGGAGATGACCCCCTTCCCTGGGGCATCATGATTGATGGACTGACACTCTGCAATGCTGCAACAATCCTCTACCACCAATTCTGGCTATCCAAAGCATTCAGCTTTGTAGTGCATCCCACATCTGATTTCACCTCTGACTGGATCAGGAACTGGGCATGGACAGAGACCAAACAGCCATCCTAACATGCCTGAGGACTACCCTGAATCACCCCTCCTCAAAAATTGGGAAATACCTCATCAAGAATGTTGTAGGAGTGCATAACAGGTGTGTTCAATTTCATGGAAACTTATGCAGCAAATACATCAAAATTTGGGCTCCCACCCTTGTACATTATTAGGAAAAAGGAATTATAGGGGGGAGTAATAGAAAAGAAGAAAGAGGATTTTTGTATGAACCAAAAGAGCCTTTCTGCGAAGAAATTGGTTGAGAATTGGTGGAGAAATTCAACCTGAGATGTCCTCATGTGCAAAGTCTGTGCACTTGACTGTGACCATGGGAACAAGGTCAAAAGTTGATGGAAGAGGACAATTTTGGGGTCATTAAATCCAGAGAGATGCCCAATGACTCAGTGTTGCTAATCAGTTCAGTGGTTGTGGAGATATTCTGATTATTGGGCATGATGGGAGTCACAGGACGATATGAATATTTGGATGCTCACATGCAAGCTAGTCTCAATGAAAATACGGGCTAGTCAAATGATATAAATGTTGAAGAAGTCATTGGAGGAGTTTTGGAATTATTTGGTCCAAGTTTCCCTGTGCATGGATAATCAAGATATGTATTCCACATCTGAGAATCTCCACCAAATTTCACAAGATTAGTATCGTTAGAAAGCTATGGATAAGGAGAGTTGAATGGAATAAAGGGACACAGTTTTGATGCAGTGTTTGGAGTGGTATGAGGAAGTTCGTGTTTTTCTTTTCATTTTCTTTTGTTGTTTGAAAATTTATTCTAAGCCAACAGCAGCTGAACCTTACTGCCATTGTTGGTGGAGGCTTAGCTCAGCCAAACCCATATATTTCGGACTCTTTTCCCAAGTTGTATGTTGCAGTATGGGTATATCTACTTAGTGATTGAAAACGGAATAAGATGATTTCCCCCCCTCACCCCTCGCTGCCATTCCCCAGCCCCCATAGCTGCTCCTGCAGCTATCCTTCTCAGTGAGTCGCTCTCCATTTGTTAAATACTATGTTTCACTTTTGTTTGTTTTTGGTTTTTTTTTTTGGTAATGTTCAACTTTCCACCCTCTCCCTAAACCTCAGCTTTGCACACCACCATATCTCCCCCTCCCTTTTTTTTTGTGTTCACTGAACACTCACATTCTTTCTTTATTGTGTGCCCACTAAGCATTTCGGCTCTGTACTTTACAATCAAGTTATATACATTAATAGTATGTTCAGGTTTAGCCTGCTTCATCCATTATGGATAATAGTAAATTATACAGGTGGGTTTTGTTATGCATCAATCATTGTGTAACAATTCATATAAAACCCGAGGGTCTATCTCATATTCCCAGGCTCACTGGCTGAGTGGTAGGGTTGTACTATATTGCTATAGACTGTATTAGTATTTCAATATAATAAATATATGTGGTATGTATCCAAATGTTTTGTCATATCCCAGAATCCCGACCCCACGCACTCCCACCACACCACACCTTCCTAACAACTTCACCATCCCCTGCACCATGCCTCCCCCAAGTCACCTTCCTTCCTGACTGTCTCAGCTCTGGTCTGGTTGCAGCACACCGAACCTTGGCCACTCCCATCCCGGAAGCTCAGTCCCAAGTCGGAACATTCAGAGACTCCAGATTTGCTCCGATATCCCGACGGACCTCCAACATCCTGTGACATACCCCTAAACCATTTCTCCACCCATTTCATTTATTGGAGCCACCTAACATCCTTGGGATACGCAACTCCGCTTTCGGAGCTACCCGCATCCTTCGGTGACCTCACTCATGTCATCACTTATTAGTCACCTTCCATTCTTAGCATGACTACCTTCTTCTTACCATTCAGTCGGCTAACCCCCCTTACCCATTTCTCGTTCCCATTCATTTTCCGGCCTCTTACTCTGCCCTCCTCGATCCGACACCTCGGTTCCCTGTTAAAGATATCGTTCGGGACCTTTGGTACCTCTCAGTATCATTCGGCACCTTTCGGTGTTCTTCTATTATCATTCGGACTTTGACTAAGTCCTTTCCATTCCCCCTTATAAATACCTATAGATTAGAACCTGTAGTTCCTCAGTTCTAATCTTGACTAAAATGCTACCCAAAGTCCCTCTGAGTGAATCCTGTTCCCTTTCTACAAGATACCTCAGACATAAGAAATACAAGGACTAACTGAGACATAACGGAGGCACAGCGCTCCCTCTGAGTCGCTGAGGCCACGTCCTCCTTAGAGCCTCTTGTACCATCCAGCAGAACTGGGCTTCCTGGAGAAGCTTCGGTCCACTACCAGAGCTCTTGGATCCCCCTCTAGTTGAGCCCCACCTGCATTCGGACTCACGCATTTTCCCTTATGATCCAGGTTTTGACATGTTTGTGGTATATGAGGTTGTTGGTTCAAACTCCCAAGGGAGTACAAATAGGTTCATTTCTTTTTGGGCTATTGCTGTGGTCACGTTGCAATGCATTGAAACTCAATAAGTTGCATTGCAATGCATTTGAACTCAATGGGTCACATTGCAATGCATTTGAACTCAATGAGTCATGCTACAATACGTTTAAACTCAATGGGTCCTGTTGCAATGCAGGGCTGGCTGTTGCAATGCTAAGTAATCAATGCAAGACTTGCATTGCCACCATCCCGTTTTGGCCATTGTATTGTGTTGCATTGAGTTACAATGTATTGACACAGATTTGCATTTTTTCGGACAAAGATACACTTGCGATACATTTCAATAACTGGTGGGTGCCTGTCAGGGCTCGGTCCTCGATCAGGGACAGCCCGACCTCAGGCCTAGGTGTGTGCGGTGTTCCAGGTGGTTGGGCGCTAGACCCGGTCCTTAGCTCCTCAAACTCACTGAAGGGACTAAGCGGGGATTGAGTTGTCATGTATTACAGAGGGTAACTACAACTTGCCTAAGCGGGGATTGAGTTGAGAAGAAGGGTAAGTTTCCCTATTCCCTGCTTGGCTACTATAAAAAGGAAGTGTACTGTACAGTTCATAACGTGACTCCGGGTAGAAGCCGAGCATGTTCCCGCAACTCGGAAAAGGTGTCACATGGGTTAAGGCGAGTTGCTCGCCTTAACCCACGTGATTTTTCCCACGGGCTCACATGCGGGCTGAAGTTGTGAGAGGTATGTAGGAATGGGGAGGTCTGGGAAGGTGGTTCTGGGGTGTGGTTGGGTGCCCTGACAGCGGGGTCAGGGGCCGATCCCTGACATCACCCCCCCTCTATGCCACTTCGCCTCGAAGTGGCTGTGGTCCGTGGTTGGGGGGTTTCCTTTATCCTCCTTGGTCTGGGGGCTTCCGGGTGGGCCTGGTGGAATTCTTTCAGGAGGTCTGGGGAGTTCTCCAGGTTCTCTCTGGGGAGCCATTCATTTTCTGAGTTTGGCCAGCCAGAGAATTTGACGAAGTACCAGAGCCGTCCATACCGGTACCTGGAATCCAGGATTTTCTCCACTTCATACTCCTCTTCTCCATTCACGATGTCCGGGCCAGGGAGCGGGTCTGCATGGCGTTCGGAGATTCTGTCTGGGGCGTAGGGGCGGGTGTTTGAGACCGAGACTACCGGGTGAATTCCTCTTTGACGGGCCGTAAGCTGTAGCTTTACTGCTGCTGGGGATACCACCTTGACGATCTGGAAGGGGCCGATCCATCTGTGGTCAAGCTTCTTGGTTGGTCGGTCTGTCGTGTAGTTTTGAGTGTTGAGCCAGACTTTGTCCCCAACTTGGTAGACTGGTGCTGCCTTCCGGTTCCTGTCATAGTACCGTGCCATCTCTTCTGCTGCATGCTCTAGTGCTGCCTTTGCTTCCTCTTGCATCTTCATCATCCGAGAGGCAAAGTCATTAGCCCCTTCGACTTCAGACATGCGGGTCGGTTCGGTCCCCATGCGTGGGTGTTGCCCAGAGTCAAGCTCGAAGGGGGTGCGGTGGGTGGAAGAGTGGATGCGGTTGTTATAGGCGAACTCGGCAAGCGGCAGCCAGTCAGCCCAGTCATCTTGCCTGTGGTTGACGAACACCCGGAGGTAGGTTTCTATTTCCTGGTTGACACGCTCCGTCTGGCCGTCAGTCTGTGGGTGGTAGGCTGTTGAAGGGGCGAGCTTGATCCCTAAGAGGTCTGCTAGCTCCCTGGAGAAGCGGGAGACAAATGCGCTGCCTCGGTCGCTGAGCACTTCCTCTGGGAGGCCATGATGCCTCCAGACGTGTTCGAGGAAGAGCCGGGCCACGCCTGCTGAGTCTACCATAGTGACTGTGGGGATTGCGTGAATGCGCTTTGAAAGTCGGTCTACCACTACCAGGATTGCGTTGTACCCCTTGGAGTCTGGGAGTTCTCCAATGGTGTCTACTGAAATCACCTGCCACCTGCGGGTGGGGACCTTGTTCGGGATGAGCTTCCCGACTTTCCGAGATGGGAATGTCTTCACTCTGTTGCAGGTGTCGCACCCCGAGACGTACTGTGCAACATACTGTGCCATCCGGGGCCACCAGTAGTTTCGGGAGACGAGCTCCACAGTCTTCCACCGCCCAGGGTGGCCTGTTGCCACCGAGTCATGGTGGAGTTGTACCAGGTCATGGCGGAGCTGTGGGTCTTTCGGGACATACACCCGGCCCCGGTGGAGGATCAGTTCCCCTTCCTTCTCCCATTCATCCGAGTGTAGGGTTCCCCTTTCCAGCTCTCTCATTGCCTTTACCACTCCCTCGTCATGCTCCTTCCCCCTGCGTATCCTGTCCAGGATGTCTGCCTCTTCTCCCTCCACTGTGACCCCCTCCATAGCTCTGACTTCAAACCAGCCCGGGTGTAGGAGGGTCATGTCCGTGTTGTCGTCCTTCCCTTTCGGGTGGTCCGGCCGACGTGAGAGGGCATCGGGCTTCCCCATGAGTTTCCCTGGTTTATGGACTAGCAGGAAGTGGAAGCGGGAGAGGTAGAGGGACCACCGTGCCTGACGCCGGTTTAGCCTCTGGGCTGAGCGGAAGTAGGAGAGGTTTCTGTGGTCAGTGTATATGTCGAAC